GAGAGTCAAAGCGATTCACATGAAGACTGCGGGTCCATTACATTCATTGCCAGTTCCATCTTAGAAGTGGGAAGATATCTGTATGGACTTCATAGTGGGGTTGCCTAAGACTTCTGCAGGCTACAATTCAATATGGTTTATTGTTGATCGCCTAACTAAGATAGCTCATTTCTTACCAGTCAGAGATAAGTATCGAGCGGAACAGTATGCAAAGCTTTATCTTGATAGAAGTTTCAGTCTGCATGGGACACCCAAGACCATCGTCTCTGACAGAGGGTCGTTGTTCGTATCCAAGTTTTGAAAAAGTTTACATGAGTCTTTAGGAACCAAACTTATCCGTAGTTCTGCTTATCATCCGCAAACAGATGGACAGACTAGAAGGGTAAATCAAATTCTTGAAGATATGTTAAGAGCATGTGTTCTCTCCTATGGTGCTATATGGGATGAATGCCTTCCCTTAGCTGAATTCTCATATAACAATAGCTATCAAGAGAGCATTAAAATGGCACCATTTGAAGCATTGTATGGCCGTAGATGCCAGACACCTTTACATTGGTCAGATGTTGGAGAACGTTGGTTCTTTGGACCGGATGTGGTCAAGGAAGCAGAAGAGAAAGTTAAACTCATACAAGCTAATATGAAGGTAGCTCAATCCCGACAGAAAAACTATGCTGATAAGAGGAGGCGACCGCTAGAATTCATAGTGGGAGATCATGTCTATCTCAAGGTATCGCCAATGAAAGGAGTTCATCGTTTTGGGATTCGGGAAAAGTTGGCGCCCCGTTATGTCGGTCCTTTTCAGATCCAACAACGATATGGACCAGTCGCCTATCGCGTCAAGCTACCAGATCACATGTCAGTTGTGCATGATATTTTCCATGTATCCCAGTTGAAGAAGTGTCTTCAAGTACCTGACCAAGTGATCAACTTTGGTGATGTAGAACTAGCACCTGATTTGACTTATGCCGAGTACCCTATTAGAGTCTTGGATCAGAAAGATCGAGTCACTCGAAGGCATACAATCAAGTTCTACAAAGTACAATGGAACCAACACACTGAAGAAGCTACTTGGGAGTCCGAAGATCACTTAGAAGAAAACTTTTCTAACTTCTTTGCTTCTCTCTAGTTACAATACCTTGTCTATGTTGTAACTTGTCTCTCTTGTCAAAAGAATGGAAAACCCCCTCACTAGTCTTTTGAATAAAGTTATGATGTGTTAGCTTGACATATTTTCTTTTCCATTACTTAATCCTAAGTTTTGAATCTCGGGACGAGATTTCTTTAAGGGGGAAGGGTTGTAACACCTCTGGTGTTTTGAGCTATCATTAAAATTTGACATGTCATCATATGCATTGCAAATCATTCATAAAGTAGAAAAATTTGAATGCATTCACTAAATAAGCTTTATTTCATAAGTTGTTATTTTATGTGATACAATGTGATTCAAAACTCTGAATGAAAATCATGACCACAAGGGTCAAAATTCATGTGATCATGTGAGACCATGTGTTAATTGACTCAAATAACCCTAATGGGCCATGTTACTGGTCAAAAATCAAAGTTAAGTCAAAAGGTAAACAAATCAAATTTGAATTCAAATTCTAATTATAAAAGTCTTTTTTGCCCCTTTTGTCTATTTCAAAATCCATTTGGAATTTGGGGTTCTGACAAAAAGCAAAGTTGAAGCTTATTTTATAAGGATCAACTTTGGTATTCAAAGTTTTGAAAGTTTACATATAAAATTTGGAGTAATTTTGAAATGATTCAAATACTCAAATGCACCCCAAATTCAAATTTTAAAATGGAGGCAGAATTTGAAAATATTCCTTGAAACAAAGTTGTAGAGTTTGAAAAGTTAAGCAACTTTCATTTTGGAGATTTTCAACTTCTTTAGAAAATTTGTGAGTAATTTGCAAAATTAACGCAGATGGCAATTCTCAGAAATACTTCAAAAATCAAAACCACCGAAAGCGCCATCTCCTTGCTTGTCACGGTGACACGCGAATGCCGCCACCGATCATTTTTTGCCGCTTTCTCGCATGGTGACACGTAGCTAGCTCCGTGGCGAGCTCGTGCGTGATCTGTCGACGCCGGGCGCGTTCTTCCCGGCTATAAATAGGAACACCACCGCCGTCGCTCTCCGTTTTCCCCTATGCTCTGCTCCACCACCGAACAGCTCCGCCGCTTCATTGTAGCCACCGTCAAACCAAACCGTCGTGCCCAGCTTCACCTACACCAACGCGATCGCTTTCGACCTTGCGCTCCTCTTCGACTTGCTTTCGCGTCGTTGGTGTTGGCCGAATCGCCTGGCCATAACGCGCTTCTTCCCGAGACGTAGAGTTCGCCACCATCGATGTCGCCGTGGCCAGGACGTTCCAGCCTCTCCGTCTTCACCAAGCACACCAGCGTGATCGTGGTGAGCTCCTGAGCGTGATGCTCGCTCTACTTTAGCCTCTACCGCACCGTGGTCGGGATTGTGATGTGCGCCGTCGTGCCCGCGCCGCCATGGCCGGCATGGAGCTCCCTCCGGTGCGCCTGCTGCCGTTTTGAGGGCTGGGAAAGATTCGTGGGACGTTGTAGATCATGTAGGTGCGGTCTGCCTCGCCGGAGCGTCGCCGTCGGCGCGTTTTGGCCGACCAGTGATGGCAGCGCCGCCGTGTTCTGTGTCTGTGTCACTGACGAGCGGGGCCCGGCTGTTAGTGAAAGAGAGAATAGTGGAATTTTGTTATTTCTGGATTTTGCATAGTGCAGTAACTTTGAAAATTTATAGGAAATTAATTACAGCTCTAAAAATTCTGAAAATTTGTGTGTAGCTTCTGTACATGTTCTATTATGGTTTAAAAATTTGAAACTTGAAATTTGAATAATTTTTTTATGTTAAAAAATTCAGTCAATTAATTGATAAATGCAATTTCCATAATTTTTGTAGGTCACTGTATAGCTCCAAAAATTATGAAATTTATTTTGGTACACTAATTTGTTATGAGAAAGCTTACATAAAATTTTGAGGTCATTTGGAACAAGTTTATTTTTGGGCTTATTTCCAAATTAATTCAAAAATGAATAAAAGCAAACCCTAAGTGTTAGGGTTAGGGTTTGATCTTGTTTGGGTCATGTTTTGTGACCAGTAGGGTTTCAAGATCAATTTGGTCAAGTCACTTAGGTCATAAACCCTAGATGTTAGTGTCATTTAGTTATGTTGATTTACAACTGTATCGCGAAGGAAAGTTGTATTAAGGTGTTATTACATTTCATGTACCATGTAAGCATCATGTTTATATTATCATCATATTGAAGCATATGTTATTATTTCGTGTAGAATCCGAGAATGAAACGGTTCTAGTTGAGCAAGTTGTGGAAGAATCCCCGGTTGTCACGGGATTCGATAATTGTGGTACTGATCCGGAACCCGAGATCAACGAAGGCAAGTCCCGGTTTATGCATTAAACCATTACCTTGTTTACTTTGAAAAGTTTATCACCTATGTTACTTATTGCATTAAGTTGATTTATTCAAATGGTACCTACTTGATGCATTGCCTACCTTGTTAATTGTTTACCATCCTTGAAGATGATTTCATTTACAAAGGCATAGAATTGCATAGTATTTTTTATGGTAGGTTTTCAAAGTAAAAGTTTCGATACAATCAAAGATGGCATACTGGCCAAAGAAAGAAAGAAAGAAGATAGAATGAACTAGAGACTAGTTGGGTGGCTTATATTGAATGTTGCCGACTATGTCGCTTAAAGGCCACTCGTTGTGGATCTTCTGAACGAGACACTTTGTAGTACTGGTCACATACTCCGGTAAGCCTACTTCGGCTAATCCGATACTAAGATGAAAGCCCACGCACTGGGAGTGGTGAGATGACGGGAGTAGCGTGTACCCTCGTGGCTTGAATGTGGCCGAATTTGAGGCATGCTGTGCTCTCGGGTGGCGTGGAGACGGCTTAGAGTGGGAGGATCCGGTAGTGAGATTGATATATGCAAGATTAAGTTCTACATATGTCGTGTGATAAGGAATCCCCAGCTGGGACTTGAATCAATTTGAATTGCCGGTGCTCCGTGGATATGGAGACTCGATTCATTACAGAAGCAATGCAGGACTGGTGAATTACTAAAACATGAGAAAAAGAATGGAATGAGAAGGATTGGAATATGAGATATGAACACTTAGTTTGAGATAATGAACTAAAGTACTTAGGGGTAAAACTCGAAAATATGATCAAGAATAGTTAGCTTTTAGCAAAGAACTTTTGAATCTTGCTACATCCTTACCTTGACCCAACACCTGCATCTCTAAAGTCCTTCACCCCTTTTTCGTCGGGTCAGTCTTGTTGATTACTTTTGTACTCAGGGTTTGTTAACCCTTGTTGCAGGTGAGTCGCATGCGCAGGCTTGTTTTGGTCCCTGTGCATGTCAGTGTTTGAAGTTGATGACGATGAGGAATGATGAATGGCCTTTGGACGAGGCACTAGTTTGTGAAATAAATAATGTTAATATAATATTATCCCGCTACTATAGTTGTATGACACTTATGGTTTTGTAAGTTTGAAACAACTGGTTTGTAATATTAAAACATAAGTCTTCCGCTTTATAATCTCTGGTATGTATATTGAAAATTGTTGTAATCTGCAATGTCTGTGATTGGGATCCTGTTTGGAAAAGATTCGTGGATGATTTGGGTTTTCCGAGGACACCCAACATACATGTTAAGTGTTGGGAACTCGTGTACGCTATCAGATGTCTGTTGAGACATCGATAGGTGCACGTGGGCCTGTTTTCTTAGGAGGTTCTGCCACACGCAGCAGCTGGTCAGCATAGTTTAACAGCATAAATGAGTTTGATTTCTAAACTGGTCATTTTATTGTCATTTCCACGCCCATTTTGTGTTTGTGCATCTGTCAAGTTCAAAATCTGCAGTAATCTACAGTTAGTAAAATGTTATATGTTGTCTGTACACTGACATTATCATGTCAATTCATTAAAAATCTTGTGCAGTGATGCGTACAAAGAATTCGAGAAGGAAATTCTGGAGGATTTGCAGGAAGTTGATGACCGCCTTGAAGATGAGGAGGTTAGGCTAATTTATATTGTCCATTATATGCTAACAGTGAAAAAGATATTTACCTACCCATTGCCAATGTTAGTTCCAGACTGCTGATATGATTAAGCTTTTCCTTTTTGCTGTAGATTGATGCTGCTGCTGAGAGGGAGGAGCACTTGACTCTAGAGCAACAGTAAGATACTTCACCACATCCTGTTAGACTATGAAAAGCATGTGTACCAGAGTGAAGGTTTTTACCGTGGGCATCCTTTTATTTCTACACAGGGAGTACAGGCAGCAAATTGATATGTTGAAGAAACAGCTATTAGAGTCGAAGGCCGCCCGTACTGCTAAAGTAAATAGCAAACCTACCGGTATGGACATGGAGTCCAGCAGTGACTCATCGAGCAATGAAGAGGATGACAGCACAGATTTTGCTGTTGACTGGAGAGCACAGCATTTGAAATGATGGAAACATTTTGCAACTGGTATGAACTACCGTGGAAAGTCAGAATCTTTAGCATCCTGCCATTACCGAGAATTCTAGCCCAGTTCTTCAGATTTGTTTTTACATGAAGAAAACACTGTAGTTTTACATCTTTGGTCTCCCTGCTCGACAGTAGATTCCAGTTCCCACCATTCTGTCTACACCTACACCGGAGTTCTGAGTCTTCTGACTACCTGAACCGACAGCGAATCCCTTGACTGATTGAACCTCTTTACACGGTTCTGACCAACGGTTTAACTTGTTCCAAGAAATTTTGCACGTTTGCTTCCGATTTTGTAATATAATATCTTTAGGAGTACATGTTAAGCAAGTTTGCCTCTAGATCACGATCCTTTCAGAGATTTGCTCGTGAATTTCAATCTTTTGCTGTTGTCACAAGGACATCTGACATCTCAATTGGTTGATTGTTGGATGGTTGAAGGGACGCCTCCTGTGCAGATTGACCGCCTTGTGCATGCTTCAACGCTTGTGCTACCACCTACAGGGCTTTTGTCTATCTAATGTTTGTTTCTCTGAGTGATGACTGACCAAGTGACGGTGGCCTTGTTTTGAAAGAAAAAATCGTACTTCGGCGGGTAAGTATGTAATGTAATCATGTAAGCAGGGACAGAGCGAGAAAATACAAATGATGATAGCTAAGTACTCATAGATGAGTTGTTAAAGGGTGTAAAAATATGCTGCGACTAGGAAATTTGTGCTTCGAAGATCCATCATATAATACATATGCTTAAAAAAATGATCTAAAGAAAAGCTGTGAACCAAAAATGACAAAACAAATATATAAAGTAACGAGTTGATGTGGGCCAAATAAGTTTGGCAAAAAAATCAATCTAAATTGGTAGAAAAATAAAAAAAAATCAAACATCATGTCTCTCTAGATCTAGATTTACATGACAATAAAAATTAGTGAACGAAATGTATTGGCAAAATTTGAAAAGATTTTAGGGATGGCATAAACTCAGCTCTCAAACCGAACTCCTTTGAAGGTTCAATGGACAAAACCTCCCCATCTTTTTCTCCAATTTCTCGTCTCCAAGTGAACTCTACAATGGTGTGAACAACTACAGTCACGCATGACCATCTATAGTCATGAGGAGGAAGAAGGGTATTATTAGGGGGTTATTTTTTAGGGCCGGGTGACTAAGAGCACCATCCTTGAATACAATTCAGATTTTGGTTCTAGTAACAAAACCGTCCCTGATAATCTGATTCTTCTAGAGACGGTTCGGTCAAGACGTCCACTCTCTCTCCCCCCCCCCCAGAAATGGATACATCTCTAGGGGTAGTTTTGTTAACGGAACTACCCCTAAAAATTGATTTCCAGCAGCGATTCGTTAGCTACAGTGTTTGCCGTCAAGGTTAACGGTTTCCTGGTCTTTCTCTGTTAGAAATTGGTAATGTCTGTAAAAAATATTTCTATACTAGTGGAGGATAGTTTCCTCTCTCTGCCTAGCAGTATATTGACAAATAAGTTATTGGGTGCAAAAGTACATGCTAATGTGCCTAAATTCTAGGTTTACAACATGTAAGTCATACCAATACTTTTCTTTGCATACATACATTATTATATATTGTAACTTTGTAGATATACTATAATGTAGATATACTATAATGGTAGCTGTTACATGCATGTCCATTATCTCTGCTATGTGTTGATCGAACAGCATGTTAGCTGTTGGAGTATCCACCATTTATTATACCGAAATGCTTCCAGGGCGTCCGGACAGCCGGACGCTGTCTCCCTAGGCCTACTCAGCGCACCAGCCCAACAGGCAACCGGCTTGCTCCCCTACTCCCCTATCTTTGCGGCCGATAACTTTTCCAGTCCGCCCGTCGTTATGTACACCGCGTGGTCCGCCCCTCCGCCTCCCGTCACGGAGTCCCACTCATGCCCGTGCCGGGCGGCACGAAATCCAGGCCGCCATAGATCCCCTCCCATCCAAGCTTCTTGCTCTAGCCCCCACCCACCCTCTGCGTCATCGTCATTGCCGCGCCCTACCTCATCCACTGAAGAAACCCGCCGTGGCCTTCTCCAGCACGCGGCCCACTCCGCCTCACGGCCTTCTCCAGCGCGCGGTCCACCTTGTCCACCGGAGCGACCCACCACGACCTTTCTCCACCGTAGTGGCGAGCTCCGTGTCGACGAGCCTCCATTCGTCCAAGCAATAAATAGATGCTACACTGAAAGCGTATATTGCAAGAGTATGTTTTAAGTGTTTCACATGTTTCAGAGGTATGTTGCAAGTGTTGTATATCGATGTTGTAAAAGTAGATTGTGATGTTGCATATGTTGTAATGGCTATACACGTATGTTTCAAGTGTATATTCTAAATATTTTATCTGTTTTCAAACGTATATTGCAAGCGTTTTATCTAGATGTTGTAAAAGTAGATCTGGATGTTACATATATATGCATGTTGCAAGCATATATGTTTTAAGTGTTTCAGGTGTTTCATATATATATATATATATTTATATATATATATCACTACTGGAAACATAGACTTTGCCAAGTGCAAAATTCTTTGCCGAATGTCAAAAATCGGGCACTCGACAAAGACCTTCTTTGCCGAGTGCTGCACTCGGCAAAGAATTGCACTCGGCAAAGAGTTCTATACCGAGTGCCGGGCACTCGGCAACCAAGGGCACTCGGCAAAGGACTTCTTTGCCGAGTGTCAGACTCTCGGCAAAATCTCTACACTCGGCATAGGCTGCCCGCGTAAAGGTGTTCGGTCACGGCCTTCTTTGCCGAGTGCCTGCTGTTAGGCACTCGACAAAGATTTAAAAAAAAAAAAATTTCTTTGCCGAGTGTCCCAGATCTGGCACTCGGCAAAGATTTAATTTTTTATTTGAAATTTCTTTGCCGAGTGTCTCAGATCTGGCACTCGACAAAGTTTTTTTTGAAAAATTCTTTGCCGAGTGCCCCTGGCACGACACTCGGCAAAGATTTATTTTTTAATTTCTTTGCCGAGTGCTCCTGTGGACGCACTCGGCAAAGAGGATTTTTTTTTAAAAAAAAATTCAAAACCCTCTTTGCCGAGTGCCTTATTCTTGGCACTCGGCAAAGACCCCATTGTCGAGTGCCATACCGCGACACTCGGCAAAGTTTTTTTGTTTTTGGCCTCGATTTTTTTGTGTGCAGCCCTTTTAAAGCACCAGGAACTTCTAGTTACAATTTGGGGATTTTTGTGGCATTTTTTATATATTTAGTTACTTTATTTCGTTACTTGAATTTTTTCAAAAAATAGAAATTTGAACTGCACGTGGTACGAATAATAAAATTTAATGATTCAAAAATTGATAGTCATGTTAGTGAGTGTTGTGAGAGGCCGTATCCAGGAATGGGCCCGAAATTTTGGACATCTTGTTCACGAAACATGTCCGCGAAATTACGTGCGAAGTGTTTTTAAATTATATAAAAAGCAAACGAAGTCCGAAAATCATGAAACTAGATCAGATATCGCATGTAGAGATGTTCTGGTTTGTAAGCATCGTACGTGACAACGTGCACGAAATCTTCTGAAATTTTTATCATAGCCTCCACATATGATATCACATCTCAACTAGTTTCATGATTTTTGGACTTCGTTTGCTTTTTATATAATTTAAAAACACTTCGCACGTAATTTCGTGGACATGTTTTGTGAACAAGATGTCCGAAATTTCGGGTCCATTCCTGGATATGGCCTCTCACAACACTCACTAACATGACTATCAATTTTTGAATCATTAAATTCCATTATTCTTACCACGTGCAGTTCAAATTTCTATTTTTCGAAAAAATTCAAGTAAACGAAATAAAGTAACTAAATATATAAAAAATGCAACAAAAAATCCCCAAATTATAACTAGGAGTTCCTGGTGCTTTAAAAGGGTTGCAAAAAAAAATTCGAGGCCAAAAACAAAAAAAAAACAAAAAAACTTTGCCGAGTGCCGGGGTATGGCACTCGGCAAAGGGGTCTTTGCCGAGTGCCAAGAATAAGGCACTCGGCAAAGAGGGTTTTGAATTTTTTATAAAAAATTTCCTCTTTGCCGAGTGCCGAGCATTCGACAAAGATTTTTTTTAAAAAATTAAATCTTTGCCGAGTGCCGTGCTAGGGGCACTCAGCAAAGTATTTTTCAAAAAAAAAATCTTTGCCGAATGTCCGATCTAAGACACTCGGCAAAAAAATTTCAAAAAATAAATTAAATCTTTAGCGAGTGTCAAATCTGAGACACTCGGCCAAGAATTGTTTTTAAAAAAATTTAATCTTTGTCAAGTGCCTCTTGATCCGGCACTCGGCAAAGGGCGGTTCCGGTACTTAGGCGTTTTCGGCCGGCCGGGCAGTCAAACAGACAGACAGCCAGCCCCCGCGCCGCGCGCCGCGCGCCACGCCAGCCCGCGCCGCCCGCTCGCCCGCGCCCGCGCCCGCGCCAGCGCCGCCGCCGCCGCCCGCTCTGCATCCCATGGCGGCCGTGCAGCGACTCCTTCGGGCAGCCGCCTCCGGTGGTTCGGCGATGGCGGCGGCGGCCAGGAGACGCATGGCGTCGCTGGCGACGGAGCAGGCGCCGTCTGCGGCCGCCGGGTTCTCGTTCGCGGCGGAGGAGAGGGTCAGGCAGCGGCCGATGGCGGAGAGGAACGTGCAGTGGGCGTTCCTGTGCTGCCCAGCGAGTGGTTGCGGTTGGTCAAGGCTGACATGCTGGACTATGGAAGCGTTGTGTCCGCGGTCGCTGGCTGTGAGGGTGTCTTCCATGTTGCCAGCCCTGTCCCCTCCGGCAAATCCTCCAACCCTGAGGTGATTTTGCTCAAAAAAAGTTTGGTCCTTGCATTGCTTTTTTCTGAATTTTTCAGGTTGTAGAATGGGCTATATGTATAGCTAGTTTTGTTCCCTTTTAGAACAAAAAAGGGATAAGTAGGATGGAAAAAGGGCGCTGTTGATGATATCTACCTATTAGTCTATGCTTCTGGAAAGCTTAGATGACCTCATGGATTGGATTTTCTCAATGATTTTCTTTTTACTAGTCTGTTAACTGAGGTAAAAATTCTAGGAAACCTGCTCGGTTCATTGGCTGTCACTGCCAGCACGAGAGTGAAATTCCCAGTTTAATTCCATTCCATATGTAGCACTGCAGCATAAGACATCATCTGGTTTTCTTCTTTTAAAACTTGCAACATTGCTGAACCCTGATCGTCTATTTATAGGCTCATGATACTTATCAGCTTTTTGGTTCCTCCAATTACAAACAGTGCTTATGATGTTATATACTTCTGTTTCTTTATTGCAGTACATTTTACCACAGTAATTTTTTGCAGGTAGATATCATAGCTCCTGCTGTAATTGGCACACTGAAGGTGTTGAAAGCTTGCTACAAGGCAAAAGTGAAGAGAGTTGTTGTGGTATCTTCAGTGGCTGCTGTGTTCATTAATCTTAACTGGCCTAAGGGCGGCCTTTACTGAGGATAGCTGGTCAGATGGGGACTACTGCAGAAAAAATGAGGTATCATAGTAAATCGATTAAGTAAAGTAAAACTGTGTTGTTTCAGTTGTCAATGCTTTATGTGGACAATGAGTTGGAGAATGTTTTATCTTTAGGTATGACTGTCTGAGCAACACAATGAGTTGAAAAAATACCGACAGAGCTGTCCTGTGTTAATTCACGTTTTGCAAGGAAACTTAAAATCTACTACGGAGTACTATCCAACAAATTTAGTATTACTTACAGGATCAGGATCATCCACGATTATGCCCTTTGTCCTTACTCCTTACTGCCGGGCGCTGTAACTATGGTCTATGGCCTTGATTCAAACTTTCAGAGGCGATTTTCCTTCATGCATTCTATCTCTAGTTTTCCATTTGGATCTTTTCTGAAAAAATGAAGCTACCGTCATTGTTTGGTTTAACATTTCGATAATGTAATATTCTTCATTCAACCTTATGGGCTACTGTTTCCATGGAGCAGGTAATAGTCATGTCTGAATCTACTCGTATTAATTCATCTTAGTTTTTGTTCTTGTAGGAATGGTATTTCCTTTCTAAAACACTGGCAGAACATGAGGCTTTTGCTTATGCAGCAAAAACTGGGCTAGACATTGTTACTGTTTGCCCATCATTGGTAATTGGACCTTTGTTGCAACCTACAGTAAATACAAGTGTTAAAATCTTCTTCAGTTATATCAAAGGTGGATAACATTCAGTTTTTTTACTATTTAGTCTTTTTTTTATTTGCATTGAGTAGTGTAATACTATCTCGGTCTCAAAATAAATCAATTCCTAAAATCGCCCCAAGTCAAACTATCTTAAATTTGACCAATTTTATAACAAAGGCTAATAACATACATGACACCAAATAAGTATATTACGAAAATATATTTCATAGTGTATCTAGTGATACTAATTTGGTGTTATAAATATTGGTATTATATTCTATGAAGTTGGTCAAACTTAAAATAGTTTGACTTAGGACAATTCTAGAAGTTGATTTAATTTGAGATGGAGGGAGTATAATGCATAGTTTCTCCTTTTTGTTCTTATATATGAGATACAAGGTAGAATCATTTCCTTTCAATTAAAATACAAAGATACATTCTTTTTATCTAAGGAGTTCCAAGATTTATTGGCATCCTAGGATGGGGACAAAAGGAAAATGAGTCCACACTAAAGCTACCATTACAGAGCATATAGATGTTCTATTTGCTGGAGTGCACACAGGGAAAACATACTAATTTATCTTTCTGTTTGTTTCCAATAGAAACCAATGAAGCATATCAAGCAATCCTATTGTTTTTTAAGATCAAGCATCTTCATTTAGTGTATGGTTAGGACTTAGGAGTCAAGCATTCCGTCTTTGAATGTAAATGCTGTTCTTGGGCAGGAGATCAGGCGGCAGTCAATAATGGACCCAAGAATCTAGTGGATGTTCGTGATGTCGCTGATGCCCTTCTGTTGGCTTACGAAAATCCGCAGGCATCTGGACGATACCTCTGCAGTTCACCAGCAATAAGAGTCTCTGATATTGTAAACATACCAAAGACCTCATATCCAACATACACTTATCCCCAAAAGTAAGGCTCTTCCTTGGCAAGTGATTTTGTTCCGTCTCTTGCATGTCCCTCCGTATCTTTGATAGAGTTGATTCTACTATTTGTACGTGCAGTGGGTGTTCCTGGGCTGCCCGGGCGTCCTGTCGCGCCTCCTCGGCGTGCCCCACATCGCGACGAGCTCTTCTCCACCGGGCCACTTGCTGCTCAGGTGAGAGTGAGACACCTCTCCGTACCTCCAGGGTCCAGATCGGCCCCGTTCTGCTCTGCGCTGATCTGGACTTCGTTTTTAGTCGTGTGGATCAGCGACATGGTTGAGCTTATTTAACTAGAGATTTGAGGTCGCCTTGGGGTATCGAGTGTGGATCAGTACGCGAAATGCTTTAGATACGGAAAGAGAGAGAGAGAGAGAGAGATGGTTTTGGTTCTAGTGGCAGTCAAATTGTTGATACGGAAAAAGAAAGAGAGAGATGGATGTGTGGATGGATAAGATATATATGTGATATATGTTTATATGAATTTATTTGTCATGATGGAATGTAAAAAAAATTAAAAATTGTCGTTTTGGGTCACTTTCCCTAGTGCAATGGTCATAGCACTCGGTAAAGAATTTTTTTTAAAAAAAAATTCAAACTTCGCCAAGTGCCGGACAGAGGGCACTCGACAAAGAAATTTTTTTTAAAAAAATTCAAACTTTGTCGAGTGCCGGCCAGAGGGCACTCGGCAAAGAAATTTAAAAAAAAATAAAAAAATCTTTGCCGAGTGCTGTGACCATGACACTCGGCAAAGATTTTTTTTTTTAAAAAATTCAAACTTTGCCGAGTGCCGGGCAGGGAGCACTCGGCAAAGAAATTTAAAAAAAAATTCAAACTTTGCCGAGTGCCGGCCAGAGGGCACTCGGCAAAGAAATTAAAAAAAATCTTTGCCGAGTGCCTAAAGGTCTAGCACTCGGCAAAGAAATTTTGTAAAAAAAAAATAAAAACTCTTTGCCGAGTGCTTGAAGGGTTGGCACTCGGCAAAGAAATTTTTAAAAAAAAAAAAAAATCTTTGCCGAGTGCTTGCAGGGTCGGCACTCGGTAAAGAAGTTTTTTAAAAAATAAAAAATATTTGCCGAGTGCCTGAAGGGTTGGCACTCGGCAAAGTGACCGTCAACGGGACCGGCGCCGTGACGGTCGCTTTTCTTTGCCGAGTGTCCCCGAGACACTCGGCAAAGCCTTTGCCGAGTTCCCGATAAAAGACACTCGGCAAAGAGGGCTTTGCCGATCAATTTTTTGCCATGTGTTCTTTGCCGAGTGCCGCACTCGGCAAAGGCCACCTTTGCCGAGTGCAATTTGGCCTTTGCCGAGTGCTTTGACAAAGAACCTGAATCTAGTAGTGTATATATATGTTTCATCAGGAACAAGGTAGATATTTGGGGGACGGAAGCAAGCGTAGTCACCGCCCGTGGGCGCCGCATGGTGTGTAGGATCACTGCTGTGCCCAAGAGGAATCCAAATGAGAGCACGTCCGTGTTCCTGACGGACTGAAGCAGAGTGGTGAACTCATCAGATCTGCTTGCTCCCACGATGATAGCTGCAGTGGCGAATGGCACTGCGATTATCAAGAGGAAATTGTCTACTATTTTCGCGTAGACTGTTTTGAGGTACTTGCCAAATTGGTGATGAACTCATTGGGGTATGCGTTTCGCGCGCAGTAATGTGTAGAGAGGTGAAGACCCCTGGGCTACCTGGTCACGTGTAGTGCAACTGACAGCCAACTAATAACCATCACTAGTTACGAAGTTGCTTCCGTTACTTGCCACCCATTTGTGTACCAAGGAATTGTCCTACGGGTCATTGCTTCGTCGCATGCAATTCATGTACCTCTGCTATGCATTCATTGGATAGAGCGATGCCAATTGTTGCATTGCTTTGTTGTGTCAGGAACTCAGGATACTGTGTCTTCGTTAAACTGGTATGGTATATGGTCTTGCTAGAGGTCAAATTTCAAATCACATTAACCAAATATTATCTGAGCCCCGTGGTGATTTATAGAGATTTGGCCAGATAATGTCAAGATCAGCAGTTTAATTTGTATCCAACGCTAAATGGTAGGTTAGCTCAAGTGAGCATACAAAAAAACAGTTGTGCTTTTTTACATTCTCTTTGAGGGGGAAATTGTTTAGTTTTATAGTTGTATACAGCTACAGTGCACATGAAAAGCATGTCGGCTTGGAGGCACACATTTATATATTAATTGCTAGAATAAAATTACAACCTCGTTAAGCCACCTCGAGATCTTGCATCCATTTGACACTAGTACACAGAACATTAGTACTGGTGGTTCCAAAACCAATTTTTACTAGCGTTTTTGACTTCCGCCAGCGTGAAACGCCGGTGAAAATCGCAAACTTCAAAGGCGCCTTCTAGAGAACCACCAGTGTAATAAGAAAACTATCTATGTAAATGCATTTACGCTGACGGTTAGTTTAAGAAAAACACGTGTAAATGCATTTCCACAAGTGGTTTATGTAAATTTGCCCCCTCTTGAAATTGCTTTCCAGAGACGGTTTAGTAACATAAACCGCCAGTGAACTATCTTTAAAAATTTAAATGTCCGCGCCATATACTTCCCGCCAGAGACAATTATATTTAAAAATTCAAATGAACCCTACATCACAGGCAATTATATTTCCATGCATGACAAAAACAAAATTTACTTCATCCTACCGTAGTCATCAACCCAAGTATATACTTCAAACATAGCATATTTATACATCAAAATTTTCAACCCATAAGTTCCATGAATTCTGTAATAATCATCTTTGTTTAGTTCTAGCCTAGAAAAATCTACAAGATCTCGTACTCTGGCTGTGCCAACTCATAAGTTCCATGAATTCTCTAACAATCATCTTTGTTTTGTTCTAGCCTAGAAAAATCTATAAGATCTCGGTACTCTGGCTATGCTAACTCAGAAGTAACATCATGATATTTCCCTTTAAAGTGAATAATTTCATGCATGAAGAACCGGCACATGTCCTCGCATATATATTCATGATGCCTTTATCTTTGAGGCTTTTCTTCGTTGGCTGGCAACGATATACCTGCAATGAAAGTTTATAGTCATCACATATTTACAAGTGACAATGCATTTGCAACACTAATGACAAAACTTCACATAGGACTATTACTTACTTTGCTAGATTTCGTGGTGTACCATCCGTTTTATCTGAGAAACTCGCACACGTAGTACCCACTGAGGACTGACCTAGGTGGTTTCTCATGGCACTATATAATAGGCAAGTGGTTGTTTAGTTGCTACATTTACATACATACTAGACATGTATGACATTTATTTAAAATTTACCGACCATTTGTTCTTTATGGACAACTGCTTTGATTTTCATTTTGTATCTTATTTTCACCCATGAACTTGTTCCACTTTATGCCATGTAGAGCTCAAATAAAATCACCAAGTCATTTCCAAACTCTCATCGATAATATAGAAATGTTAAAAAGTATGCATGCATATCTCGACTTACTGTTGTACAAGTGTCAAGATTTTTCATACGTGCTGATCGAGTAATCTAGGGAGTCAAGGACCAATAACCTTTTGATGAGAGTCTAACATAGGGGTATATTAAATCCCTGAATTAAGGGCATGACAGTCCGACTACCCCCCCCCCCCTCCGCAGCCGGCTCTCCAAATCAGGCGAGGGCTCGGGGGCTGCACCCATCGGGTGCGCTTGTGTGCACCCACTCACAGGAAAAGGATGGCTTGGCAGATGACAGCCCACAATTGGCCCTCCACCAAGGAGGCCCTTGACACCAAAACGTTGAGCCTGAGAAGGCAAGAGCTGTCATCGCCCGGGCTCGAGGGGTCAGCCAGCACGCAGGGATCCCCGACCGAAGGGGAGCCTCGGCTATCTCAGCGCTGGTGGTTGTCCCACAACCTTGGCTCAGGGCCAATGTCCCGAGCCAAGACTAGAAGCCAGCTGCAGAATCTGTCAGGCACTCAGAGCTTGACAAGCGCAGAAGCACTACATCGCAATCCGATCACACCACCGCGAGGCACTGCCGGCCACTCCTAGGCAGGGTCACGCCTAGGGCATGATTCGTGTCAAGACAAGGAACTCCCGAAGCCCATGATGGGAGGGACTCTGGGCTCACCTGGTAGTCCCTCTTGGTGGAAGGAGGATCCTGGCGTGTCAAAGAAGCTAGGAAGGTTCACCCAAAGAAGGCACCACTGTGGTAGACAGCACTTGGCGGTTAGCACCAGGCTACAACATAGGTCTTAGGGAGTGGTTGAGGTTTTGTCAGCCCCCAGTTACAAAGACAAAGAAGGTCTGGGACGGTGCGAAGACGGCGAAGACCGAAGCCCAAGGCGAGAAACCCTAGGTTACAAACCACCTGGTTTGTACCTGATGCCCTCCTCGGTGTATAAGGAGAGGCATGGGCTCCAGTAGAAGGGATCGCGCAAGCGACCAACCACAATAGAAACCAAACAAGAGCATGGGACAATTGGGTCGAGTCTAATTGATCGAACGATCTCACCAACAATCGTAGGATAGCATGCACAATCCCCTGCTATTCTCTCTCTCTCTCTCTCTTAATTCCACCACTGTAAGTACTCCCATTTGAGTATTCCTAACACGAAGAACATCGTACTGCTGGACATAGGGCTTAGAAACCCGATAAATCACCCGTGCCCCTAAGTGTTTTGAGTGCTCAAGCCACCGAAGATTCCACACATTCAATTCCGTCTTACCTGTCTCCATTTTTTTTCGAGGGCGAGGAGACGCCCGCACCCATCTCCAATGTTTCTGTGCGGAGCCGTCGGTGGCAAGGCGCTCGAAGCCGTCGATGCCGAACTGTAGGTTGGCCAGCAATTGTCGCGGAGCGCCTCGCTGAAGCCCGCGTCCCTGAGCAGCCTGCCGGTGTACACGGACAGCACGGCCAGCAGCAGGGCCCCCATGGCCAACGACGGTGGCGACACGTGCCTGCAAGGCTTCAGCCTGCCGGCGTACGCGGACAGCACGTCCAGCAGCTAGCACCACGCTCCCTGCACGGCTTCAGCCTGCCGGCGTACGCGAACAGCACGGCCAGCAGCACCGCGCCCCCATGGCCAACGGCGGCGGCGATGCGTGCCTGCACGGCTTCAACCTTGACGACCACGGCAGGCGTTGGGGCAGCTGGAGGCGTGGCGCGGGGCCAGCTGCGGCGTGCGCTCCCGTGCGAGCAGGTCGTGGATCGGAGGGAAGACGACGTGGGGGAAGAGCTACTTGTTTCCTCATCCATTGTTTTGACTTTTTTCTTACGATGGTTGGGTGTTAGGTTTGG